ATACTTTCATCTCTAATTACAGTATACAAATTAGAGAAAAGTTTACACCAATATAATCAAAGGCCCACGTTCTGTCAGTAAATTTTACATAATGTAACAATACTCTCTTTTGCTTCCTGCCAAATTTACAGAATCAATTTTCTATTTTTGTGTAAGCCAAACCAAATACATAACAAACACACAATAAAACCCTGTTCTTTGACTCATTAGGTAGTGGTACTTTCTTTAACTCTGTGTATTGACTTCTATTTTTTCCTATGAGTGTTGAGATATTAACCAATTAGCAAAAGACTTATTCAGCCTACTCCTCTAAGTTCCTGCAATATTTATTTTGTGACCAATCTAAAAAACTTCCCAGCATGCCTAGTCTTTGTAGTTATAGTTTACCTTTCTGATATTGGGCTGGCTCAATGTTAGACTTCCATCTCTATTTATCATGTTAGCTCCTCTTCATTCTAAGAATTCTTAAAAACACCAAATTTTTTTTTCTCCTTAAATATTTAAAAATCCAACTGGATCAAAGAATAACATTCAAAATAAAATTATTACTTGTTTTACAGGATAATCCTACAAAAACAGCTTCAACTCTACGAGGCAATTTCTACATCACTGGGGACAGGGGCTATATGGATGAGGATGGATATTTCTGGTTTGTTTCAAGAGCAGATGATATCATATTATCTTCCGGGTAATTTTCATCTGTGGATATGTCTGTGTTGACTGCTTGTTAGTAGTTTGGAGTGAACTTTTTGCTCACCTTTATAAATTCCTGCCTTATGTTTTATTTCCCAGTTACCGAATTGGTCCGTTTGAGGTAGAAAGTGCCCTGATTGAACATCCTGCAGTTGCAGAGTCAGCTGTTGTCAGCAGTCCAGATCCCATCAGAGGAGAGGTAATTGATTCATCTCTACCTTAGTTTGTTGGCAGTCTAACACATACTTTTAAACAGTAGTTCATTGAAACAGAATTACCTAAATGATTCATTCACTAATTATGTAATTTAGAGATTCATTATTAAATATGCTAGTCAGATAGAAATATGCTAATCAAAATGAACTGCTACAGAATGAGACTGAAAATATACACAATATAAAGAATTTGAATCCTTTCCATGGAGTATTGGGGCAAAGACAGTGTGAATGCCAGGTTCACACCAGAAGCGACCCCATGGGCTGTAGCCTACCAGGCTCCTCCATCCATGGAATTTTCCAGGCAAGAATACTGGAGTGGGTTGCTATTTCCTTCTCCAGATCTTCCCTACCCAGGGTCGAACCCAGGTCTCCTACATTGTAAACAGACGCTTTATCATCTGAGCCACCAGAGAAGTCAGAAGCTAATTAGATAGGTTCAAGTTGTTACTCAGATCTGGAAACTAACATGGCCTTAGTGTAGATGAGGATAGGCTGGCATCAGATATCAAGACTAGGAACAAGGTCAGAGATAGGAACTAAGTAACCAGAAGCAAGTTGGGTCGGTCAGTAAGTAGAGGCTTCAGGAAATAATAAACAAGACAGAAGTCCTGAAAGCTTACTTCTGTTGGGGCTGATCACATGGTAGTCTGGGTTTAAAGATTCCATGACACTCTTCAGGTCCTTTTTGCCAGGCATGGTCAATAATATTCCACATTCCAGTAATGCAAGTAGGGAAAAGATTCAGTGATTATTGAAGTTTGTCCCTTTGCTCTGAATTCCATCAATAGGTGGAATGAGTCTCTCCCCTAACATCAGTCATTTCCTCCCCTGTAAAAGGATTCTGTGAGAGGAATTACATTCCATATTTTGTAATAAATCTATAAGGGAAAAGAAATCTGAAAAAAAAAAATCTTATCTATATCTGAGTCACTTTGCTATACACCTGAAACTAACAAAACAGTTAATCAACTATACTTCAACAAAAAAATGACAAAAAGAGAGAAGGATATAAAGTTGTAATGTACAGCAGGGTTCCATTTTTAAGTATAAATGTCTTAGGAAAAATAGAAATAATTCACACCACTTTGCTGGTTTTCTCTGGAGAATAAAATTAAAAATGATTTTTAATTTCTTTAAAAAAAGTTTGTGAGGATTAAATAAGTTAACATAGGTATAGGACTTATAACAATACTCAGCACGTATTAAGTCATTAAAAATATTAGGTATTAGTTGTAGAAGTATAAGATTTTTTTAACCTAAAATCTGTAAGTGGGCTTCAGAGTTTTCCTGAAATTCTGTGCAAGAGAAATTACTACAACCAATACCTAATATTTTTAATGACTTAGTATGTATGTTCCAGGTATTGTTATAAGCCCTATACCCATGTTGATTTACTTAATCCTCATAAACTCCTTTCACAGAGAAGGAAATTGAGGCAGAGATGTGTCCTAACTTGCCTGAGATTACAGGCAAAATGTGACTCAAATCCAGGTTGTGTACTTCAGAGTTCATGCCCTTAACCATGTTAGATTGTTCTTTCTTAATTTATCATTTTCTGTAATGGTTTATAAAGAATTCTATAAAGATAAGTTAGATTTTATCCAAAGTGCATAAGTAATCAATATGCAAACCAGTAATTACAAACACTAGTTCTTAAAATAACTTGCCTCTGCACAATTCACTTATAGCAAGGATGAAATTTTTTAATTCATAAAAATATTGATAAGCAATATAACAAGCATAAATACAAATAAATTTTATGAAATGTCAAACAATGAATAGAATAAAATGATATACATGCATAGACACACATACACAACTGCCTTGAGTCAACAGAAGTGTCTATGGAATAAAGAGCGGACAGTCTCAGTGAACTGTTTCTTTTAACAAGGATATGGCAAACCCAGTGAGAAGACTGTTTATTAGGACCATACTGAGGGTGGTGACCTAGACTAGATCAGGATGGGTTCTTTTATAAAAGACTGTGCTTAGTGCACTGCCAAGTTTCCAAAAGAAAATTTTTTGAAGGGGATAACAGATGAGGCAAGAAGTCAAGAGCAGAAATGATCAGAAACAGGTCAGAAAGTAGTTTAAGATGTAGTGAGATGAGACAGTTCAAGTATAGATCAAAATCAAAGTAGGGGTTCCAAAAGCTCTGTTGTATTAAGATCCCCTGGAGTAGGAAATGGCAACCTGCTCCAGTATTCTTGTCTGGAAAATTCCATGGACAGAGGAGCCTGGCAGGCTATAGTCTATGGGGTCAGAGTTGGAGACGACTGAGCAACTGAGCACACACGCACACATTAGATATAAAATCTAGGTGTGGGAGTCAATTGGCTGGCTTAAGAGCATAAAGCTGAGATCAGACCCTAATAAACATTTTGGCTCACCACATGAGGTATTTATTTAGATTTCCAAGTTAAGTGAAAGATACATTGAAACATAAAAATATACAACTCATCATTCAAATATTTATTTTAGGTAGTAAAGGCTTTTATTGTTCTGAATCCTGATTACAAGTCACATGATAAAGAACAACTAAAAAAGGAGATTCAGGAGCATGTAAAAAGAAATACAGCACCTTACAAATATCCCAGAAAGGTAGGTACTCTAATTAAGAACAGTATTTGCTTAGTATTCCGGAAGTTTTCAGCTGTTTATTTTTTCCATTTTAATGAACATTCTCTTGAAATGTGCTATACCAAACATTTCAAACTGAACTAATGACATGGATAAGAAACAGAATCTTTGAGATTAAAATGAAACTCTTAACCTAATTTGTAGGGTCATTTGGCTTACTGGACTTATAGTAAATACTAAATATTAAAAAAATATCCTCAGCAATATCCCTTCTCCCTTTTTTCGCTGTTACCAAAAAACCCCCCAATTGGTGTCCTGATTCTTTCACCCAGAGTTCATAATGGAACTGTTATATAATTGACTTTGTCTAAAGATGAAAACTTCTGGCCTAATTTTCTTCCCTTGGATATCTACAGGTAGAATTTATTCAAGAGCTGCCAAAGACTATTAGTGGGAAGATAAAAAGAAATGAACTGAGGAAGAAAGAATGGGAAACAACTTAAGTCTATTCCATTAATTATGATGGTCTCTATAAATAAGACTCTGTAAAATCAAAGATTATGAAAAGGTGGTAAAAAATGTGATAGTATGCTTATAAACTAATTGATTTAAAATATCCTGTGGTTGTTACCTCATAGGCTGGATTCTGAAATAAAACATTCAATAAATTCCTCTGCATTGGTGTCAATGTTTTTATAACTGGTAATATAAAAAGAATACCACCAGTTGTTGAGGAATTTTTAGACACATAGTGTAGAAGCAATTTCTGAACTAAATCTCTGGCCTATTGCATTTCAGATCTTAGTTGAGTAATTCTACCGATACATTGACTATAAACCAGAACCAATTTTTAAGGGTTGAAATAAAATGAAACAAGTTATAAAGTTTTTAGAAAAGTCTTAAATAATAGATTATCATAATTCTCAAAGTACAAGTATCTACCTGAAAATAGTCTAGGGATTTTTTATTGGTCACATTGTTATTCAAACAAGTTAAAAACAATTTAAAATTCATTTCAAGGTCTAAGTGTAAAAGGATATCATATATTGTACACCTGAAACTGATATAATATTGTATGACAATTATAATTCAATATAAAGAAATAGGATATCATGTATTAATATTGCTATTATATTTAATCTGATAAGTACAGTTTACCAAGTACTTAATTTGTGGTTCTTCAAAAAAGTGTGGTAAGTTTGGTAACAGTTAATATATGAAATATAAATAAAATAGTATAAGACATTATCAGCATACTCATGTGTGGAAATTCAGGGGACAATCAGGATTCATACATGGAGAGAAGACAAATAACTGGTGTATGAAATTAGAAGGCTGTGATATTATTGTTTTCTATTTTCAGTGTGTGTGTGTGAATGTGCTGAATAGCCCCAGAGTAGCTTACAGAGCTCAGATATGCAAAGTCCTTACAACATGTAGCCCTATATGTAATTTTTACTGCACTAAAAGTCACACTGAAGTAAAAACATAGTTTAGACATAAAAAAGGTCAATTTCTCATTGAAGGTCTGAGTCTCAATGAATTTTTAGTAGAAAAATTTACATTTCTGTCACAAATAAGGTTTGTTTCTAGAGAACTAAAAGTGAGTCCTCCTGGGGAATGAGATAGAACTATACTGTTCACTCTTTCCTTTTGAAGTGTTTGTTCCCACTTGAAATAACCACAGCATTTTCTCTTTTCTTGGTACTTCCCAACAGGACAACAATAGAAGACTTTTCCATGGTTTGGTCCATTATTAGAAACAGTAAGTCTCTTAGATCTTCGGCCACACTTGCATAAAGGAGGTGTTATTTTTCCACTCTTCCAAGGCTCTTGGAGATTAACTGTAGAAGTTAAGACAGAAGGGAGGATCTTCCAGGAAGAAATTGCTGCTGGGGAGTCATTAGATGATGCAGGCTTTTCTTCATGAATAGTGAAAGTCTGTTTTTTGGCTGGTGGGAAAAGTGGAGGACTGGATGGATTCCTTTTACTATCATCTAAACAAAGAGGATGTTTCCCCAAAACTAAAGGATGAGACACATTGGAATTAACACTTTTGAGATTACTTGATTTACATTCAGGTAATTTAAAGCCAAAAGTATCTGAACCTGGATCTTTGGCTTCCTTTATATTATAAATAGTGGTATGGGGACTCTTATATACAATAGACTTAGAGGTAAAAGATTTTTGAGGAGTTTCTTCTGTGCCTCCAAAATTTTCATGACTTAACATTTCAGATTCTTCCAAAACCATTACTCTTTCTCCAGAATTAAGTGAAGTGTCTACATTTGAGTCACTAACAGGAGGTATACAATATATATTTTGCTCGGGCTGAGATGCTGGCAGTAAAGCTACATCCTCCCAATCAGCCAACATAGGTAAACAGTCAAGAGCAGAACTGACTTCCATATCAGAAACATTATTAAAAGATGAAATGGTAGTTGAAACAGGTACCAGTTCTGAATCAACTGCTGAAGTCTTAGAATTGATATTAAATGCAAGATGTTGGTTTATTTGCTTCTGCATAGGTGTATTCCAGCTGGAAGACTGCAGCTTCCCCAGAGAAGTCCAGGACTTAGGAGCATTAAAGAGAGATAAACAGCCTCTGACATTGCGAAGACCTGCTTTTATGCTGTCCTTTTGTTGTAACTGATCCTGCTGTACCTTTATAGGAGAATTCACACTAACAGACTTCATTTGAATTTTCTTGTAAGATTTTATTGAATTTTTAGGCTCCCTACCATATATGCTGGGATCATGAGTGTTATTAGTACAGGCTGATGTTTCTTCAACTTGATCCATATTCAAATTTCTGGTGAAAATGTTAGGATTCCTCTTAGTGGAAACCTATGATTCCACAGACAAAACCAACAACTTTAGAAACTCTGCATTCATAATTTCTTTAGTATACATTATATGAGATGACAAAAAAGAAAAACGTCAGCACTGATTGATCTATAAATGACAGCATACATAACATCAACATTTCAGTTAGCCTATGATTACTTCTGGAGTTTGAAATAACAGAATAAAGAGGCAAGACACCACTAACCTTGTTCAAAGACCTTGTAATCTTCATTAAGCAACCATCCCTGATCATCTTCCAAGCAAGAAGGGCAGTATTCCGAGAATCATCCAACCCTGAGGAAACAGATATCAAAGACTGAATTTAGTGGTACTTATATAAAGAAATATACTACCACCTAAGCAGAAATTGGAACATACAGTTGGTTTTATGATCATCTACTAATTTTCATCATAAAAAATGGTCTTGTGGAAAGCTGCGGCAGCCTCACCAATGAAAGATTTCCCACATTTAGTCACCTGGTCCTGAACTTTTGTTTGTTGGGAGTTTTTTAATCAGTCTTGATTTCAGTACTTGGGATTGGTCTGTTCATAATTATTTTCTATTTCTTCCTGGTACCTTTCTAGGAATTTGTTCATTTCTTCCAGGATGTCCATTTTATTGCCATAGAGTGACTGGTAGTAGTCTTTTATGATCCTTTGTACTTCTATGATGTCAGCTTTTCTTTTTTGATTTCTAATTTTGTTGATTTGAGTCCTCTCCCTTTTTTTTCTGGATAAGTCAGGCTAAAGGTTTCTCAATTTTATCTTTTCAAAGAACCAGCTTTTAGGTTCACTGATCTTTTCTATCATTTTCTTTGTTTCTATTTTACTTATTTCTGATCTTCATGATTTATTTCCTTCTATTAACTTTAGATTTTGTTTGTTCTTCTCTCTCCAGTAGCTTTAGGTATAGGGATAGGTTGTTTGAGACTTTCTTGTTTCTTGAAGTAAGATTGTATTGCTACAAACTTCCCTTAGAACTTCTTTGGCTCCAGCCCATAGGTTTAAGATCACTGTGCTTTCTTTTTGTCTCTAGGTATCATTCTTTTAACACCATACATAAAAATAAGCTCAAAATGAGTTAAAGACATAGATGTGAGACTGGGCACTATAAAATTCTTGAGAAAAACACACAGCACTCTTTGACATAAATTGCAGTAATATCTTTTTTTATCTGTTTCAGAGTAATGGAAATAAAAACCAAATAAATGGGATCTAATTAAATTCAAAAGCTTTTGCAAAGCAAAGGAAACCATAAACAAAATGAAAAGACAATGCACAGAATGGGAGAAAATATTTGCAGATGATGTGACAGACAAGTTATCAGTCTCCAAAATTTACAAACAGTTCATGCAGCTAAATATCATCAAAATAAACAACCCAATCAAAAAGTGGGCAGAAGACCTAAATAGACATTTCTCCAAAGAAGACATACAGATGGCTGAGAAGCACATAAAAGATATTCAACATCACTAATTATCAGAGAAATGCACATTAAAACTAGAGATCCCTCACCTCACACCAGTCAGAATGGCTATCATAAAAAAATTTACAAACAGTAAATGCTGGAGAGGGTGTGAAGAGGAAACCCTCCTACATTGTTGGTGGGAATGTAAATTGATACAGCCACTATGGAAAACATATGTAAGTTCCTGAAGAAACTAAAAACAGAGCTACCATATGATCCTTAAATCCCACTCCTGGGCACGTATCTGGAGAAAAACATGGTCTGAAAGGATACATGCACCTCAATGCTCACTGCAGTGCTGTTTACAATAGCCAAGACACTGAAACAATCTAAGTGCCCACTGACAGAACAATGAATAAAGATGTGGTACATATATATATACAACAGAATATTGTTTGTGGTAGTTATACTAAGTCATGTCTGACTCTTTTGTGACCCAATGGGCTGTAGCTCACCAGGGATTTCCCAGGCAAGAGTATTGGAGTGGGTTGTCATTTCCTTCTCCAGGGAATCTTCCCAACATAGGGATCAAACTTATATCTGCATTGCAGGCAGATTCTTTACCACTGAGGCACCAGGGAAGCCCAATGGAATATTACCCAGTCATTAAAAAAGAATGAGATGATGTCTTTGCCACAACATAGATGGACTTAGAGATGGTCACAATGACTGAAGTAAGTCAGACAGAGAAATATCCTGTATCACTTATGTGTAGAATCTATCTATCTATATATACAAATGAACTTATTTATAAAATAGTAACAGACTCAGAGACTTAGAGAAAGAACTTATGGTAACAAGGGGAATGGTCGGGGGAGCCATAGTTAGGACTTTTGGGATTGACAGATACATTCTGCTATATTTAAAATGGATAACCAACACAGACCTACTGTATAGCACATGGAATACTGCTCAGTGTTATGTGGCAGCCTGGATGGAAGGGGAGTTTGGGGAGAATGGATACATTTACACGTATGGCTGAGTCTCTTCACTGTTCACCTGAAACTATCAGAACATAGTTTGTTAATTGGCTATACTCCAATACAAAATAAAAGTTAAAAAAAAAAAAGAACAATAAAAATTAAAACAAAAATAAAATGGATGGGGACTTCCCTGGTAGTTCAGTGACTAACACTCTGTGTGAGGCTGGGGTTCAATCCCTGGTTAGGGAACTACATTCTGCCTGCTGGTAACTAAAGATTCTGCATGCTGCGACAAAGACCAAAGATCTCATGTGCCACAGCTAAGACCCAGTATAGCCAAATAAATTTAAAAAATTATTTTTTTAAAAAAGGATAATCAGCAAGGAACTACTGTATAGCACAGGGAACTCAGCTCAATATTATGTAACAACCTAAATGGGAAAAGGATTTGAAAAAGAATAGATACATGTATATGTATATAGCTGAATCACTTTGCTGTATACCTGAACCTAATAACACTGTTAATCAACTATACTCTAAAAGAAAAAGACTAAAAAATAAAACCACATGATTATCTCAATAGATGCAGAAAAAGATTTTGACAAAAATTCAACACCCATTTATGATAAAAGCTCTGAAGAAAGTGGGAATAGAGAGAACTTGCCTTAAAATAATAAAGGCCATATAACACAAACCCACAGCTAACATCATTCTCTATGGGGAAAAGCTGAAAGCATTCCCTCTAAGATCAGGAACAAGGCAGGGATGTCCACTCTCACCATTTTTATTCAACATAGTTTTAGAAGTCCTATCCATGGCAATCAGAAAAGAACAAAACCAAATAAAAGGAATCCAAATTGGAAAAGAAGTAAAACTGATACTGGATGCTGATGACATGATACTAGTCATAGAAAATCCTAAAGATGCTACCAGAAGACTACTAGAGTTACAACGAATCTGGTAAATTTTCAAGATATAAAATCAACACACAGAAATCTTGCATTCTTATATACCAACAATGAAAGAGCATAAAGAGAAATTAAACAACTTCATTCACCATTGCATCAAAAAGAATAAAATACCTAGGAATAAACCTACTTCAGGAGACAAAAGGCCTATACTCAGAACACTTCACAATGTTATATGAAATACAGCATATCTTATGATACTGATGAAAGAAATCAAAGATAACACAAAGAGATGGAAAGATATACTGTGTTCTTGGACTGGAAGAACCAATATTGTGAAGTAACTATACTATCCAAAGCAATATACAAATTCAATGTAATTCCTACCAAATTATCAGTGGCATTTTTCACAGAATTAGAACAAAAAAAGTTACAATTTGTAGGGAAACATGAAAGACCCAGAATCGCCAAAGCAATCTTGATTAAAAAAAACAAAAAAACATAGCTAGGGGAAGCAGGCTCCCTGACTTCAGACTATACTACAAAGCTATAGTAATCAAAATAGTATTATACTGGCAGATAAATAAAAAATAATATAAATATTATATTTATATATAAATATAAAAAATAAATAAAAAAACAGATATATAAATCAAGGGAACAAGATAGAAAACCCAGAGATAAATTCATATACCTATGGTCAATTAACCTATGATAGAGGACGCAAAATATACAATGGAGAAAAAACAGTCTCTTCAATAAGTGATGCAGGGAAAACTGGACAGCTACATGTAAAAGAGCCAAATTAGAACACTCTTTAACAATGTACACAAAAATAAACTCAGAATGGATAAAAGACCTAAACGTAAGTCCAGACACCACAAAACTCTTAGAGGGAAACACAGGCAGAACATTTTCTGACATAAATCACAACAGTATTTTGATCTACCTGCTAGAGTAATGAAAATGAAAATAAAAATAAACAATTGGGACCAAATTAAATTTAAATGTTTTTGCATAGCAAAGAAAACAATAAAGAAAATGAAAAGACAACTCACAGAATCAGAGAAAATATGTGCAAATGAAGCAACAAGTAAGGGATTAATCTTCAAAATAAACAAACAAACAAAATAAACGGCTCATGCAGCTCTATGCTAAAAAAAGCAAATCACCCAATTGAAAAATGGACAGAAGACCCAAACAAACATTTCTACAAAGACATACAGATGGCCAAAAGCACATGAAAAGATGTTCAACATCACTAATTATCAGAGAATTGCAAATCAAAGCTACAACGAGGTATCACCTCACCCCAGTCAGAACTGCCATCATCAAAAAGTCTACAACCAATAAATGCTGGAGAGGCTGTGGAGAAAAGGGAGCCCTCCTACAATGTCAGTAGGAATGTAAATTGGTACAACCACTACAGAACAGTATGCAGATTCCTTAAAAAACTAAAAATAGAACTACTATTATGATCCAGCAATCCCACTCCTGAGCATATATTCAGGGAAGACCATAATCTGAAGATATATGCACCCCAATGTTCACTGCAGCACTGTTTATAATAGCCAAGACATGGAAGCAATTTAAATGTTCATCAGCAGAGGAATGGATATAGAAGATATGGCACATATATATAACTGAACATTACTCATCCATAAAAAGGAATGAAATAATGCCAATTGCAGTCACATGGACTGACCTAAAGATTATCATACTACGTGAAGTATATCATAAGAAAAAGACAAATATGATATCACTCATGTGTGGAATCTGATTTTTAAAAAAGATATAAATGAATTTATTTATAAAACAAAAACAGACTTTCAGATATGAGTGGAAAAAGGGGTGAAGTATAAATCAGAAGTAGTGTGAACATACACATACTATCTTATATAAGACAGATAACCAACAAGGACCTACTGTATAGCTCAAAAAATTCTAATCAATATTCTATGATAACCCAAATGAGAAAAGAATCTAAAAAAGAATACATGTATACGTATGTAAGAATCATTTTACTGTACACCTGAAATGAACACAACATTGTCAATCAACTATACTTGAATAAAACTAAAATATATATAAAAAATATGACCAACATTCTGTAGGGACCATGTTTTATGCGTAATCTAATAGTCTTGTTCAGTTTTTTCACTAGTCTACTCTATTATTTGGGCATTTGTTTATAATCTCCACTTGATATGGCTAATTCTTTTCATTTTTTTTTTAAGAAATTAGAAATCCACTAGGTAACAGTCTTATATAAAACCTTACAATATTTTAAGGAAGTGGTAATTTGAAAATTTTGCAAACAATCTGAATGTACAGACTAGGGCTTTTTTCAGGCTGAGGATATTCTTTGTTAGTGACATCATTGAAAAATGAGATGCAAATGGAAGACTGTATAAAAATAAAATGACTTACATAATAAAATTAATCTCAAGATATACTAACCAAAATGTTCTCGTCCCAAGAATTGCATTCCCACTTCCTGCAGGGCACCACTGAGTCCTTTTGGTTTTCTTCTATAGAAAATCTAGTCAAATAAAAGACAATATATCTTAAAAAATAAATACTATGTGAAAGGCTATGTATTTAGCCATTTACTTTTCATGATTTTTATTCTATTAGATTTGAAATGTGCTTATTTTTGTATTGTTTTTATATACTTTAAGAAAAGTATTTATATGGATGCTTCAAAACAAAATATTTTGTTTGTAGAAACCCATACCCATGTGTGAAGTGAAAGTCGCTCAGTCGTGTCTGACTCTTTGTGACCCCACAGACTATACAGTCCTTGGAATTCTCCATGCCAGAATACTGGAGTGGGTAGCCTTTCCCTTCTCCAGGGCATCTTCCCAACCCAGGGATCTAACCCAGGTCTCCTGCATTGCAGGTGGTTCCTTTACCAGCTGAACAACAAGAGAAGCCCAAGAATACTGGAGTGGCTAGCCTATCCCTTTTCCAGCAGATCTTTCTGATCTAGGAATCAAACTGGGGTCCCCTGCATTGCAGGTGGATTCTTCACCAATTGAGCTATCAGGGAAGCCTATGTGTAGGATAAAGTTTAATAACTTTTCAATAGAAGGAAAATGAACATGCCCCCTTACCTTGTAAGTTACTCTGAGATCAATCCAAGAATTAAGAAACACAGGTTTTAACAGTTGTTTTCTTTTACATTCATACTCCAGGCAAACCCCCAAGTCCCAGTCTGCATCAAGAATATTAGAACAAAGTCAATGATGCTAATGGTTTTTACTTGTGCCATTATTTATAAACAAAATGCTGAAAGTCGACATAAAACAGAATAACAGGACTTAGAATAATACATAACAACATACACTATATTTTATATATAGTATATATAACATATGGTATATAATTATATACTATGCAACACATAATAGAAGAGTAAGATTTTGCTGCCCTAATATTTAACAGTTATTCATAACTTACTATTAAGAAATTAGGTCAGTAACTAAGTTTCAAAATGATTTCTTAAAAGCCCAGTAAAACAAACTGACATTTCAGAAAGAAGAGTAAGGTGTCACATTACAAGGCTTAGATGGAAAAGATTATCTGCTTTCAACATTTTATAAAATATTAATGTAACTGAGAAACCAAACATCTTACAGGGACCCTGTTGGGCTGTAACCCAAAGCCATGCAAGCACTGTACTTGCCCAACCTCAAGACCAAAGAAAAGAGCCCAGAGTCAGTGACAGAAACATCAAGGGTTTAATGAACAGGGAGATTATACATGTCTGAAGCAAGGTCTTGGAGCATACTGCATCATGTGAAGCAGATGGTGGGGAGGACATGGCAGCAGTCTTCCGCAAGGTGTTACCAGTTATAGAGAGAATTGACATCAGTTGGTTCATCAGTTACCAGGGAAAGCAGCTGAGGAGAGAGCCCTTCATGTCCCTTTGATAAGCTATCATGGTGGAGATAAAGATTCTGGTCTAAAGATCTAAAGATTAGAACAATCACTAGCTGGGGCTAAGGGCAAGTATGTATTAAGAGGAGAGGTCAGTTATGTGAGTAGGGTGTAGGTCAAGCAGGGGTATACAGAGAACAAGAGAACAGCCATCTTGATTGGCCTGATCATACAGACCCAAACACAATTATCAATGCCATGCTGTCAATGACAGAGCATTGTTAACAATGACTATTAATGGCAATACTCTATCAGGGCATATAAAAGATCTACTTTAAATGGCCCATTTTTTCCCTTGATGTCTACATTAGAAGCGTGAATGTATAAAAGCAAAGAATGCAAGTTGAATACGGACTCTTTTTATCAAAGTTGTAGAAATACCATGATAAAAAAATTTTCACTGGTCTTTGCCCAGATTCAGGAGAATAGAGAAATCTAGAAAGATTCTTAAGAGTTAGAGCTTAACTTTTAAAGGTGTTTAAAATTTTAAAAATATGAATAAGATTACTTTTGTTGGTTAACATCATGCTAGACATTTAAGATTTCTTTTTGTGGCCCAGGAAGGTAACAAATATAATTGTTACTAGAGATAAAGAATTACCTAGTGGCAATGCTACTCATTAATGATTGCTAAGTATAAGTTATTTTTTTTACCTGACCAAGTAACAAATGCACATAATTTTACTTCAGCAGTGGAAATATCTGAAACTGTAGTAGCAAAAATAATTTTCTTCTGTTGCTGAATCTTCTGAATCCATTTACAGAACTGAGATAAACAGATCTTCAGAGGGACTCCTTCATCAACTTGAGCCTAAATAGAGTCATATAATCTGAATTCAATAACTGAATTCCATAATTATTGTGCAAATAATTAGACACTATGAGGAGGATATACAACAAGGAAGAAGAGGTTTTAACTGGCAGTTTAGTGAAAAGATGTTTAAACACACAGGAGAGAGATAATACAACAATTAGAATTCTGCAAGATAAGAAAAATTACATTGACTAATCTAAAATCACACAGAAATACAATAAAGATATCCTGATAGGCATAAATTTGATATAACTTAATTTCCATAAAATATATTTGATATACATTTTTATAACACTATTCTTTCCAATTTTTTTTCCCCATGGGGAAATCTTAATTTCTCAACCAGGGATCAACCCCACAACCTCTGCAGTGGGCGTGTAGAGTCATAATCATTGGACCACTGTAGAAGTCCAATTTTTTCTGATTTTTAAAGATTCCAATGGGCTTCTGGAGGGGACAGTATTTCTAGCAGTGAATGAATCTAATTCCACATGGCATATAGCTTTTCTTTCTGAAAGTGATTTCCGAATTTCAATATTTACATCTTTCCTGCTTGTGTTTTGTTGTAATGGGAGGATGAGAAGTGGAAAAGAGAGGGCATACCTGCCTTATGCCTGTCAGTTCCATGCAAAATTCAGAAAGAATTGGATGTTCCTGAGGCTGAACATAAGCATGGAACTCAGATTCAATCTCTCCAGTTGATGTGTTCAGTAATACAGCTGGAAATTCAACTATATGAAAGAATCATCAATTGACAGTTGAATACATAATTGTTAAACTAATGCTGCAATCACTTTAAATTAAGTATATACTGATATTACCTTCATATAGTACTATTAAACAATCATTGTTTTAGTGAAAGCACATTAAAATGACCAAAGCAGTGCAACATAATGGTTATATAAAATTATGCCAAAGAATAAATCAAACTATTAAAGTTACAGGTATATCTATTTAAAACTCTTGAATGTATTTCCATAATTAGAAGACCATATGAAAGTTGAAACATAGTTCTTTTTGCAAAGGTATTTTTTTATCAGTTTCTATGTAGTTGAGATTTTGAATATAATCCCAAAACAATTATTTTATATGGTGACACACTTAGGTATTAGGTTTGTGGGTCTTTTTTGTCAAGTCAGATTTCATAGTAAATTACCAATCCGCAGATCATTTTGTTTTCTTATTTAGCATTGCATATGCTGTGTGCTATGGAGAAGGAAATGGCAACCCACTCCAGTGCTCTTGCCTGGAGAATCCCAGGGATGGCGGAGCCCGGTGGGCCGCCGTCTATGGCGTCGCACAGAGTTGGACATGACTGAAGCGACTTAGCAGCAGCAGCAGCATGCTGTGTGCTAAGTTGCTTCATCCATGTCCAACGACTCCATGGACTGTAGCCCACCAGGCCCCTCTGTCTATGGGATTCTCCAGGCAAGAATACTGGAGTGGGTTGCTGTGCCCTTCTCCAGGGGATCTTTGGCCATTGGCAGTAAAGTTCAGACTTACTTATTTCCTGACTCCGGTGGTGTTTCCCATCATTCCAACATGTGGACTCAAAATCAAGGACAATTAAGTAGTCAAACAACTGCTCTGCAAAAGATTAGAGTGTCCTTATGTATTACCAGTGTTAAAAGTGCAAGACTACAGAATGTAAAGAAATGAGGCACATTGCTTACTAGATTTGCTTCTTCCTAGGTTTCCATTTGCTGGTGGAATTGACTTTCTCCTAATTAATCCAAGCTGCCTAAAAATGTAAAACAATCCAGGTTATGTTCAACAAACTCATTCAAATTCCTGTTTACATAAGTTAACAAACTGATGGTATAACTCTCATTATTAATGTACTAATGTATTGTGATTGAGAGGAAACTGAACTAGACTTTGAGGGCAAAAGACTTTGGTTCTTTGCACTCTTCTGACTTTAGTAGTCATTCTACCAAAGAATGTTCAAACTACTACACAAACTACTACACTCATTTCACATGCTAGCAAGGTAATGCTCAAAATTCTTCAAGTGAGGCTTCAAACAGTACATGATCTCAAAATTTCCAGATGTACAAGTTCGATTTAAAAACGGCAGAGGAACCAGAGATCAAATTGCCAACATCTGTTGAATCATAGAAAAAGCAAGAGAATTCCAGAAAAATATCTACTTCTGCTTCAATGACTATACTAAAGCCTTTGACTGTGTAGATCAAGACAAACTGTCAAAAATTCTTCAAGAGATGGGAATATCAGACCACCTTACCTGCCTCCTGAGAAACCTGTATGCAGGTCAAGAAGCAACAGTTAGAACTGGACATGGAACAATAGATTGGTTCCCAATTGGGAAAGGAGTACGTCAATGCTGTATATTGTCACCCTGCTTATTTAACTTATATGCAAGAGTACATCATGAGAAATGCCGATATGGATGAAGCTCAAGGGGGAATCAAGACTGATGGGAGAAATATCAATAACCTCAGATATGCAGATGACACCACCCTTATGGCAGAAAGTGAAGAGGAACTAAAGAGCCTCTTGATGAATGTGAAAGAAGACAGTGAAAAAACTGGCTCAAAACAACATTCAAAAAACGAAGATCATGGCATCTGGTCCACTTCATGGCAGAGAGATGGGGAAACAATGGAAACAGTGACAGATTTTATTTTATTGGGCTCCAAAATCACTGTGGATGATCACTGCAGCCATGAAATCAAAAGATGCTTGCTCCTTGGAAGAAAAGCTATGGCCAACCTAGACAGCATATTAAAAAGCAGAGACATTACTTTGCCGACAAAGGTCCGTCTAGTCAAAACTATGGTTTTTCCAATAGTCAAGTATGGATGTGAGAATTGGACCACAGAAAAGGCTGAATGCTGATGAACTGATGCTTTCAAATTGTGGTGCTGGAGAAGACTCTTGAGAGGTCCTTGGACAGCAAGATGAAACCAGTCAATCCTAAAGGAAATCAACCCTGAATATTCATTGGAAGGACTGATGCTGGAGCTGAAGCTCTAATACTTTGGCCACCTGATGTGAAGAGCTGACTCATTGGAAAAGATCCTGATGCTGGGAAAGATTGAGGGCAGGAGGAGAAGGGGGCAACAGAAGATGAGATGGTTGGATGGCATCATCAACTCAATGGACAAGAGTTTGAGCAAACTCTAGGAGACAGTAAAAGAGAAGGCTGGCGTACTGCAGTCCATGTGGTCACAAAGAGTCAGACATGACTAAGCGACTGAACAACAAGTCATTCTAGCTGCATGGGCCTCAAAGTGCATATTTGCAAACAGACTGTTTCTCTGTGCTCCTATTATTTTATAGTAATAATGAGGAACTCAAGTGGTTGTAAAGATGCAATGAAAACCTAATTTAATTTTGCTTTTGTGTTTTTCAAGCCTTTGCTATGTAAATAGCACAGTGGAGAGGAGAGAGGGCAGATCTAGTCTTCCAGGAGTTTAAATTATCTGGGTAAATAAACTAGATATTCATGGAAAACTAGTGTAAGGTAATATATAATAAAGGATCCTTATGGGCAATATTCTAAGTCCACAGAAAGGGAAGAGCTTGTTACCTGAAGCCTCTTGGTAGGTGTCAAGCCAAAAGACCACCAAGGCAAAGAGGAGAAGGAAGGATTTATTACTTGCAGCAAGTAAGTATAACAGCAGGGGTCTTTCCTGGTGTTTCCCACACCAGTGTCACCCCTAAACTGCAAAACTTTTTTTTTTTTTTTTTTTTTTTTTTTTTAGTTTAAGCTAAGGGTACATGCATATTTCATGTAGGGGCTTAGGTGGTTGAGATTCCAAACATTAGCTGATTGAAGTCAAGAGAGTTAAAAAGGTCAACATCATCATCCCTTGGGTTACAGGTGATCAGATGGTTGAGTGCTTCAGGCTAATCTTTACGACTGAAACAGAACTAGGAATTTTTTTTCTTTTTCTTTTTGGCAGCTTGCAGGATATTGGTTTCCAGAGCAGGGATCAAACTTGTACCCTCTGCAATGGAAGCTGGGAGCCCTAACCACTGGACCACCAGGGAACTCCCAGGACTAAGAGTCTTTGCTTCTGAGATATTATCTTTGCCATTGTTACTTCCCTTGCCTGGTAACAGTTATTTGTTTCTGCATTCTTTTGTTTCCTTAATAGCATTAATTCCCGAACTTCTCTGGCAGTCCAGTGGTTAGGAATCCACTTGCCAATGCAGGGGATATGGGTTCAATCCCAGGTCCAGGAAGACTCCACACGTTGAGGGGCAACTAACCCCACGCAGCACAACTACTGAGCTTGCCCTCCCCAACTACCAAAGCCAGTGCACCCTAGAGCCTGTGCTCTCTAACAAGAGTAGCCACCTCAATGAGAAACCTGCAGACCACAACTAGAGAGTGGCCTCTGCTTGCTGCAACTAGAGAAAAGCCTGTGCACAGCAACAAAGATCCAGTACAGCCAGCAACAAAGATCCAGTACAGCCAACAACAAAATAAATTTTTTTTAAAAAAAAGATCACTGTGGCTAGCCTCAGACCACAAAATGGCTTATGCCAAACATGGCTTCTTTAATATTGAGAAAGTCATGTCTGGTTGTCTTTCTCCAGCGAATATCTGCTTCCATGCTTATTGAGGTCTTAGGCTTACTGACATCTTAAGTGTCCCGAGACAAAACTATTCAATACTTTGCTAAGTAGTTTAACAAGGCACACACCACTCGTTATAGTTTCCCTGTTTGACCTGTGATGGGAAGTTGAGAATAATGGCTAACATCTTTTGATTGTTTACTATATAATGGTGGTGGTCGTTGAGTCAGTCTTTGACTCTTGCGATCCTCTGTCCATGGAATTCTCCAGGCAAGAATATTGGAGTGGGTTGCCATTTCCTTCTCCAGGGGAATCTTCCCAATCCAGGGATCAAACCCTGGTCTCCTGAACTGCAGGCAGATTCTTTACGGACATATTACTCACTGAATTAAGATGGTGATCTCATTTCATCCTCAACAACTGTACAAAATAGTCCCTTCTGCTACCTACATTTAATCGGTGAGAAATCGAATTCGGCAATTTGCCAGAAAACACGTATTTAGTATGTGAAACCAGAATGATTCAACTGTGAAACCAATGCTTTCACGAATGCATTCCACTGTTTCTATTAATCAGAAATGTGAAAAGCGTGTCCAAGAATCAGGAAAAAGGCCACGATTCACACTATGAATTAAACAGATCACTAGTAAGTGGTGGGGTGAACAGCTTGGTAGGTGGAGGGATCTTGATAGCTGCCGGTGACCTCCAAATGGTCCCGTAGGGCCGTTCTTAATGTTCCCGGAGACCTAGAATAGGCAGACACTGGCTCAGGGGCACAGAGTCGAGAGCCCTCCCTGGTCCCTCCACGCTCCTACAAAGAGCTAACAGAGGCTCGAGACTGAAGTGCCAGAAGAGTGACCTTCCAGTTCAGGCTGGCCAGTGCACGCCCAAACTGCAGAGAATGGAGGCTGAACACGGCCGATACTGACGCGGACGCCAGCTCCGGATCAGGAGCGATCCCCCGCCTCCGCCCAGAACCGCCTTGCATACCTTGCGAGTCTCTTCGTCGCCATCCCTGACGTCCCCTTGCCTCAGCCCAAGTGCCGGAAGTCGCTGTACCCCACTTCCGGCCCATTCAAACGCCCCGCGCGGTTGGGGAGGCTGCTGCGGCGGCTTCTCTGCCCGTGGCTGAGGCAGAGGCGGAGGTCATCTTTACTCTCCCTCCTGGCTTCTTTTCGGCGTCTTCGGGGATACGGAGTCTGGGGAATGGTTTTTGGCAGAGAAGCAGTTAGAAAGTGCCCTCTTCCCTCTTCCTAACTGACGGAGGCGCGTTTGCGCCGTTGGGGGACCGTTTCGAATTCGGCCTCCAGCGTCGGCAGTAAAGCCGTTTGTCTTGGTGCTGCGTGGTTTTCTGCGTGGAGTAACGGGGAAGACGGTTGGCGCCCTCGCTTTCCGCGGTGGGCGGGGAGCGCTCAGTAAACTGATTTGAGAAGATCTGAGGAAGGTGGTAGGTAGGCTGTCGAAGCCCTTGCTCCTCCCCACTCTGGAGACAGCCCGGGCCATCAGGGCGTCGGGCTTTTCTCAGAGAGCTAAAAAGCGATCTTTCTCAACAGGCTCATGGAGCCAGAGAGGCAAAGGAGCGGGAGGACCCTCAAGAAGGGCAGAAAGAGGAGCCGGATTCCGAGCAAGCTGGTCGGGGCCGCTGAGGCGATGAGATCCCGTTGGGATCTTGAGGAAAAGCAGCAACCTGTAGCCAAGGTGAGCAATGGGGGATCCCGACTGGGCAGCCCTAGGCAGTTTGGAACTCCCAAATGATAATACAATACCACTTACCTTGGGGCTGATATTGGCGATTTAAAACCGGTATTGTGCCTGGTACACGAGAAGAATATTTGTTCAACAAATATTTTGAAGTCTTCCGTGTTCAGGAATTGTTCTAGGCTCTGCAAATATACCAGTGCATAAAAGCACAAAATTTCCTGCCCCCGTGCAGTTTACATTCCAGTAATGGAATGAGCATTCTGTGGCATCCATCCCCATAGTCATCAGATATCTATTGTCTTTCTAGGCACTGGGGGAACATTAGTGAGTAAACAAAGATCGCTACTACCTTTCTAGTGGAGAGAGAAGATAAACAATAGTAAGGGAATTAGTGCTATGAAGTCTTTTAAAATGCGATTCCTTTTGGGGGAGCCTATCAGATTGGCAAAAAAAAATTTTTTTTTTTAAGGTTAACGTGGTAGAAAGTTGAAGGAAGTTGACAATCTCATCACTTTATTTTGAAACCCCTTTATTTTGAAACTGTCTCAAACTTAAAATTTGCGAGTACAGTATCAGAAACTACCTTCCACCCATATATTTTAGTGTTTACATATTTTCTAATATCTACATAACTAAAATGCGACCAGCAAAATCAGGAAATAACATGGATATATGCTACCATGTAATTTTCAGATCTCATTCAAGTTTCTCCAGTTCTAATAACATCCTGTTCAGCAATAAGATCTAGTTTAGAATAAATGTGTTACTTTAGTTGTTATGTTTCCTTCAATGTAAACAATTGTTCAGTCTTTGACATTTGTGGCTTTACTACCTTTGAAGAACCTGTACCAGTTATTTTGTAGAATGTCAGAATGTCTCTCAAGTTAGGTTTGTTTTCTCATTATTAGATTGAGGTTATACATCTTTGACAGGAATTGTCACAGAAGTGATACTATGTTCTGTTGTATTTTATCAGGTTGTACCCTAATTTGATTTGTCCCAGTACTGATGATATTAACCTTGATAATTTGATTAAGAAAGTATGTGCTAAATTTCTCTAAAGTTGCTCTTTTTCTCTGTTATTTTGTGGGGAGATGCTTCCTCATTAAACTTTCAGTTTATTCATTTTTTTATTAGTATGAATTCATGGATACTCAATTTAATCAATGAATTATCATCCATTACTATATTTATTTTGGTGCTCAAAATATCCCAGATTTGGTCATTAAGCTAACTTCTGTGTCCCTTTGACATGGACCTGTTCATTCCTGAGCATTTCCTTGTTTTTCTGGCACAAAAAGATATTTCAGACTCTTCTGTGCTTCCCCTGTCTTAGCCTGAAATCAGCCATCTCTCTGAGGAGACTTGGTTCTTTTTAGTGGACAATGACATTTAGAAATTAAAGATCTGGGTGCTAGATGTGCTGATAGCTGTTGGGAAGTCAATATTCCAAATGAGAGCTAAGAGATATGTGTGTATAGATTTACACACATATACATATGTATACATTAAAATACCTTTATATTTATAGATATATCTATACATATTGAAAAACTGTCAATTCATATCCCTATCTTTGCTTCCAATCCAATTCCACTGAGTTCATTCTAGTTGTCTCCATTTTTATATATATAACTTCCTTATATAGCTGAAAAATTTGACTCTCTTTATCTTCTAATATATTTAATTTGGTCCCCTCTTCCTGCCATTGCTCACACCCTCACACCCTCCTCACCCAGCTTAGGCTCTGGTCATTCTGCATAATGCACCAGGTCACTCTTCATTGTGAATGCTTTCATTGCTACTGTGATAAGCTACTCACATGGATGCCTGCACATATCCTTTTCAGGCTCTGAATTCAGTGACACTACTATTTGTCCCTCAGGACTGGTGCCCTCCTTACCCTAAACAATTTCTTACATCTGATGCCAGCTTCACTACTCTCCAGTTCCCACTGCATGGATACCCTCCTCATCCTGCTCAGGCTTTGACACTTCACACTGGGCCACTGTCCTGCAATGTATATTCTGGTTTCCTAACCCTTGTTCAGTCGCTAAGTCATGTCCAACTCTTTGTGACCCCATGAACTGCAGCATGCCAGCCGTCTCTATCCTTTGCTAATTCCTTGAGTTTGCTCAAACTTATGTCCATTGAGTCAGAGATGCCATCCAACCATCTCTTCCTCTGTTGCCCCCTTCTCTTGCCCTCACTCTTGCCCAGCATCAGGGTCTTTTCCAATGAGTTGGTTCTTCGAGTCAGGTGGTCAAAATATTGGAGTTTCAGCATCAGTCCTTCCACTGAATATTCAGGGTTGATTTCCTTTAGGATTGACTGGATTGATCTTGCTGTTCAAGGGTCTCTCAAGAGTCTTCTTCAGCACCACAGTTCGAAAGCATCAACTCTTGGGCACTCAGCCTGCATGCAGCCTTCTTTCTGGTCTAGCTTTCACATGCATACATGACTACTAGAAAAACCATAGCTTAGACTATACAGACCTTTGTTAGCAAAGTGATGTCTCTGCTTTTTAATACACTGTCTAGGTTTGTTACAGCTTTTCTTTCAAGGAGCAAGCGTCTTAATTTCATGGCTGCAGTCACTGTTCACAGTGATTTTGGAGCCCAAGAAAAAACATTTGTCACTGTTTCCATTTTTCCCCATCTATGTGCCATTTAGTGATGGGACTGGATGCCAAGATCTTTGTATTTTGAATGTAGAGTTTTCAGCAAGCTTTTTCAGTCTCCTCTTTCACCTTCATCAAGAGGCTCATTAGTTCCGTTTCGCTTTCTGCCATTAAAATGGTATCATCTGCATATCTGAAGTTGTTGGTATTTCTCCCAGCAGTCTTGATTCCAGCTTGTGAGTCATCAGGCTGGCATTTCTCATGATGTACTCTGCATATGAGTTAAATAAGCAGCATAACAATTTGCAGCCTTTGATGTACTCCTTTCCCAAGTTTGAACCAGTCTTGTTCCGTGTCCGATTCTAACTGTTGCTTCTTGTCCTGCATACAGGTTTCTTAGGAGTCAGGTAAGGTGATCTGCTATTCCCATCTCTTGAAGAATTTTCCACAGTTTGTTGTGATCCACACAGTCAAAGGCTTTGGCATAGTCAAAGAAGCAGAAGTAGATGTTTTTCTGGAACTCTTTTGCTTTTTCTATGATCCAAAGGATGTTGGCAATTTGATCTCTGGTTCCTCTGCCTTTTCTTAATCCAGCTTGTACATCTGGAAGTTGTCAGTTCATGTACTGCTGAGGCCTAGCTTGAAGGATTTTGAGTATAATCTTGCTAGCATGTGAAATGAATGAAACTGTATGGTAATTTGAACATTCTTTGGCATTGCCTTTGTTTGGAATTTGAATGAAAACTGACCTTTTCCTTTCCTGTGACCACTGCTGAGTTTTACAATTTGCTGGCGTATTGAGTGCAGCACTTTAACAGCATTGTCATTTAGAGTTTGAAATAGCTCACCTGGAATTCCGTCACCTCCACTAGCTTTGTTCATAATAATGCTTCCTAAGGCCCACTTGACTTCACATTCCTAGGATATCTGGCTCTAGGTGAGTGACCACACCATCATGGTTATCTGAGTCATTATAACATCTTTTGTACAGTTTTTTCTGTGTATTCTTGCCACCTCTTCATAATATCTTCTGCTTCTGTTAGGACCTTACCGTTTCTGTTCTTCATTGTGCCCATCTTTGTATGAAATGTGTCTTTGGTATCTCTGTTACCGAGTCCAAGCTTGCTCTGCTTACCACACAACAGGCCAGTGAATCTGAGAGATGAGGTGTTGAGGCAAGGAAGAGCCAGCAGACTGAGAAGATGGCAGATTAGCACCTCAAAGTAACCATTTTATTGGGGTCTGGATACTAGGTTCTTTTAAAGGTTAGAGAGAAAGAAGCAAAGTAAAAAGGCCATTAATTTTGCAAACATCTTCTAGAATGGCAAGCCTCAGGCAGGGGATGTGTTAATTTTTTTCTTCCTGCCATCCACAGGTGGACAGGGTTCTGAACAAAGACATTTTAGTTTAACAGTCAGGCAGAGGGGCAGGATTCTCTGAGGCAAACCATTCTGTATGATTACATATAATAACAAAAGCAATGAAAAGCAAGCCAAAGAAACAGTTCCAACATGGAGTCAGAATTGGTTTCCTCTCTACAACATCTCCCGTTTTCTTGAAGAGTTCTGTAGTCTTTCCCATTCTATTATTTTCCGCAATTTCTTTTCACTGTTCACTTAAGAAGGCTCTCTTACCGCTCCTTCTGGAACTCTGCCTTCACCTGGACTTTGTCCTGTGTAGTATGCTCTCCCT